ACATAAACGTAACGTAACGTGTCACGTTACGTTTCGCAAACTTAATGAATTTTTATTTTTTTAAATTGAATGTGAAAATGTTGCTGGTTTATGTTGGTGTCACGTTATGTTTTATATAATATGATCTATAAATTGAATGTTGCCATAAACCATAGGTGTCACGTTACGTTTATATTGGTGTTACGTTTATGTAAATATAATCTATGGCAACATTCAATTTCCTACATAGATTATAGGTGTCACGTTACGTTACGTTTATGTAAATATGATCTATGGCAACATACAATTTCTTATATAGGAAATTGCATGTTACCATAAATCATAGGTGTCGCGTTACGTTTATATAGGTGTCACGTTACGTATAGGTGTCATGCTACATTTATATAGATATGATCTATACTAACATTCAATTTCCTATATATGGTTTTACTATTATTTATGATATTAACGACTAATATTGAGGGTAAATGTGTCAACAAACTACCCACAGAACCTATGGGTACATAAATTTTTTTGTAGGACCATATATAACATATAAGGCTCCCTAATAAAACTTATAAATAATTTTTCAAAAAAATAAACATAAAACACATCATTTCCAATAGTTGAGAATATATATCTAACATATCTACCCAGTCCAAACAAACACGGCCTTCGATACATGTTAACAAAACTACCCCTTTTTCCTAGTGTTCCTAGCCTAATTTATTTTCGTTAAACCCATGACCTAGCTCCCTTTCACTCTGGACATTGCTCTCTCTGTCGCTTTCTCGCTCGCCATGATCGTCTGAAGAACTCCAGTGGTTTGAATCTCTCTCTCTCTCTCTCTCTCTCTCTCTCTCTTAGGTTGCTTATTGCGATTTTATCAATTGAGAGGGAAAAGAGGATAATTGAATCTCAAGAGATTGCCGACTCTCATCTATGATTTTCTCTGTCGATTTCACTAATCTTCAATCATTTCTGCGAAATGCAGGTCCCATCGATTCCAACCTGTTAGGGTTTTGGTTGGAGTCCTTTGCAAATAGCTAAAAGTAACGGTTGAAGATTGTAGGGGTTTTCTGCAACTTTTGCTGTTTATTTTTGTTGCTCGATTTGGTTTCACAGTTTCTTTCCATACAAACTTCGAGGAGTGTTTTCAGCTCGCAAACAAATCAGGTAATACGTCTGTTCTTTACTGAAAGCTCTCTCTGCTACTTTCTTTTTTTCTTTCTTTCTTTCTTTCTTTCTTTCTTCTTCTTCTGGTTGTCTCTTTTGTTGATGTTCACACCATTTCTACATTCGTTTAGTATTGATGGATAATATAGTATGTCGGTGAGTGGCAATTGCAAGTTATCCCTTCATAATTTTATTAATAATTAGTAATATCATGTGATAGTGATAATATAGTATCACTGTTATGTTGAATTTTCACTCGATTGCGATCCAATGCTAGAGAGTATTGTGTTGTATGGCCCATGGAACTTCTTAAGCTGATTGGAAAACTGATTAGCATTTTCCACAAGAATTGTTGAAGAGCAGCTGCAAATCAAATAGTAAACCCATGACATTAACAGGCTTAACTATCATACTCCGTTAAATTAAATACAAAAGTATTTCTTAAAAGATAAAGAAATGTGACTTGATAGGAAAATGAGGGAAAAAGGGTGTCTTGTTTAGATAAAGAAGCATCTTGCTATTGAACACATCTGTTTAAAATTTGGTTCCTTTTGTGCATTTTGCTCCTGTTAGAATGAGACCAAAATTGCCAGAAAGTAGAGGAATAGGCTTATTAATCAGGATTTATGGTAGCCAATCCAGATTCCATTATAAAATACAATTTGCCATTGTAAATTTGTCTAAAATAAAAAATAAAGAAATAATATAGTATCGTACACTAAAAGGCTTGGGAGTCAATATAATCTGGTAAAAACATAAATTGGTTCCAATCTGACACGAAATTTATATCGATAAATAAGATTTTTTAAAAAGATTTTGCTAATAAATTCTATTAAATCTTGTTTATACATATGTATTTTTTTTATGTAATCGATTTCTGTATTAATAACATAATTGTATTCACAATGCTCAATCTTGGACTCAATAACTTTGTTTGTATGATTTTGTTTTGCTTTAAAATCGCTCCCTTTAGAATGATTCAATACAGTAGTGACACTGAATGCAATGCAACATAAATTCCATGCATTGAGAAGAGATTTTAGTAGAGGGCATCAAACGAATCATATTTTAATCATATTGGGTGGTCCTGCAATGGGAGAGAGTAGGTACAGTGAGTACAACTTAAAAAGGTTGTGAATTTCACAATATTTAATTTTCAGTGATGCTTGGCAAATTTAGGACTCCCCTTGCTTAAGTGGGTGTGCTACTGAGACACATCTAAACTAGTTAATGCGTTCAATTTATTTGATATACTAGCATAGCAAAGCAATTTCCCTCAGTAGAATAAACATTATTAAATTGCTATCTTAATTTAAAGGGTTTATTACACATTCTACCCCTAAACTGTCGCCTAATATTTTGTAATACAAAAGTTAAGGGATCCTAAATTATTCTCATATTTCAACATTTCCCCTCAAGGTAAAAAAAAATAGCACTCAATTAGTACAAATTAGTGTGTGTTTGGGAGGAGAAAGATTGGGAAAACACCAAACCTTTGGCATAGTGCACAAAGTGGTGGCCTCATGACTTGAAAGTTGAAAGTTGAAAGTTGAACCCATAACCTCAAGGTTATTAGTCTAAGGTTTTACCATTGAACTAATGGTCACCCCTCAAGCTGATTTAAAGATATTCGCTAAACCTATATTGATAATGGATGACTGCGACAAAGTTGGACCAACAGATATCGTGAACATATTAGCTAACTGCTCAGATGAATGGACTTCGATGTTGAATATAAGATGTATGTAATTAGAGAACCTCGTGTATTGAATGACATTGACATATATATACATATATACATACATACATATATATATATATATATAAGAGGCCTTTTGATTGTATTTAATATTGTCTTTTCTTTATCATTTATTATTATTTCTTGTGGGTCGGATTTTGTAAATTCGGAGTGTGACAACATTTGTGGTGTTAACTCTAAGGGGTTGACCTGGTGGCAAGGTCTTTGGTCTTCGGGCCCTCCAAAGTTTAGGATTGATCCCTCTTAAGTGCTAAAAATTCCTTGGGGTCATTGGATTGGAGAAAATCCTTGAATTAATCATGGTGCACTTGCAGGCAAAAGGCTTGTGTATCGTGGGGATTAGTTGGGTTTTGATCTAGACGCCCCAATGCCAATCAAAAAAAAAATATTTGTGGTGTGGATTACCATAAATGTCATAATTAGATCCTTTTCAGTTGTAACTTGAGAAAAAAAGAAGTCGTAACTTGAGAAAAAAAGAAGTCGTAACTGAACATCACATAAGGTACAATCAAAGACTTTTTGAATCATAACTAAAATAATATCATAAACCTCAAGGGGTTGACCTGGTGGCACGGCCTTAGGTCAGGGGGTGTGCTCCCTCAAGGTTTAGGGATCAAAACCTTTAGGTGCTAATAATTTCTTGGAGTCACCGGATTGGGGGAAAACCTTTGAATTAATTGTGGTGCACTTGCAAAAAGCTCTTTGCCAAGGGCTTGTGCACGCTTGGAGATTAGTCGGGTTTTTATTCGAACACCCCAGTGCCAATAAAAAAAATGTCATAATCAACATTACAATGAGTCATAACTAACACTACAATAAGTCGTAATCAAAGACCAGAAAATTCATAATTGGGGTATATGGGGGTTGTGTATCATAGAATTTCCCATATTAGTTTTTTGATCGGCAAAGTAAAAATTTGATTGAAAACATAAAATTAAAGGTACAAGGAAAAAAAATGCATTGAGAGGGATTCAAAGAGTGTAAACTCTCCTACTATTGTAACTCGTATCATTTTTACAACTAACCCCTCAGACTCAACTTTTTTTTTTTTAAATATATATATATATATATTTTTTTTAAATAAGAGGAGAAAAAAAAAGAAGATTAAAAAAATCTAAATTACAAACCAAACACTTGAACTCCACACTCGACAACATCCATGCCACACTGAAACATTTCCTAGGCTTGCATACATCTCAAACAACTCTACACGCCTGTATCCCACGCTTGTTCGTTCCCAAGCACTAATCCACGACCAAACCATGCCGCATGCGTCCATGCCAGAGAAGACCACGCTGCTCCCGTTTTCCGATTGCTGAAACTCCATCTTCGCTCCTTGTATCACTCCTTCTAGCATTGCACAGCCACCATCTGTAGTCCACTTACGTGCTTCAACCAACTCCCAAAACAACACCCAATCATCCCAAACAACTCCATTCACTCCGACCACCGTCCACCATTCACCCACCCAATCCAACTAACACCCGTAGGGAACTCGAACCAACACCCAACCTGAGACCACCTCTGCAACAACCAACACCTAAGAGAGCACCCAAACAACACCCACCTGCCGAACACCCACCGCGAGCACCCAACACCGAACACCCTACTACTTAGCCGAACAAGCCATCACCAAACACCGTGCTCCATCGTCAATCAATCCCGCTGCTCCTATAGCACCCAAACACTGGCGAAACTAGTGTCCCACATTGATTTGAAACCGCCTTTGAAGACCACGTCTCCCCTTCCTTCATTACCGCTTCTATATCAATCACCCATCGAACCCCCATAGCTGAAGAAAATGCCCATACTCGAGCACCATAGCTGCCCTTTCACGCTGGACATTACTCTCTGTCGCTTTCTCGCTCGCCATGATCGTTTGAAGAACTCCAGCGTTTTGAATCTCTCTCTCTCTCTCTCTCTCTCAAGTTGGTTATTGCGATTTATTGATTGAGAGGGAAAAGAGGATAATTGAATCTCAGGAGATCGTTGACTCTCATCTATGATTTCCTCTGTCGATTTCACTAATCTTCAATCATTTTCTACGAAATGCAAGTCCCATCGATTCCAGTCTGTTAGGGTTTTGGTTGGAGTTCTTTGCAAATCGCTAAAAGTAACAGTTGAAGATTGTAGGGGTTTTATGCAACTTGTGCTGTTTATTTTTGTTGCTCGATTTGGTTTCACAATTTCTTTCCATACAAACTTTGAGGAGTATTTTCGTCTTGCAAACAAATTAGGTAATACTTCTATTCTTTACTGAAAGCCCTCTCTGCTACTTTTTTTTTTTCCTTCTGGTTTTGTCTCTTTTGTTGATGTTCACACCATTTCTACATTCGTTTACTATTGGTGGATAATATATTATGTTGGTGAGTGGCAATTGCAAATTATCACTTTATAAATTTATTATTAATTAGTAATATCATGTGATAGTGATAATATAGTATCACTGTTATGTTGAATTTTCACTCGATTGTGATCCAATGCTAGAAAGTATTGTATTGTATGGCCCATGGAACTTCTTAAGCTGATTGGAAAACTGATTGGCATTTTCCACAAGAAATGTTAAAGAGCAGCTGCAAATCAAATAGTAAAACCATGACATTAACAGGCTTAACTATCATACTTCGTTAAATTAAATACAAAAATATTTCTTAAAAGATAAAGAAATGCGACTTGATAGGAAAATGAAGGAAAAAGGGAGTCTTGTTTAGATAAAGAAGCATCTTGCTAGTGAACACATCTGTTTAAAATTTGGTTCCTTCTGTGCATTTTTCTCCTGTTAGAATTGAGACCAAAATTGCCAGAAAGTAGAGGAATAGGCTTATTAATCAGGATTTATATAAAATACAATTTGCCATTGTAAATTTGTCTAAAATAAAAAAATAAAGAAATAATATAGTATCATACACTAAAAGGCTTGGGAGTCAATATATTCTGGTAAAAACATAAATTGGTTCCAATCTGACACGAAATTTATATCGATATATAAGATTTTTTAAAAAGATTTTGCTAATAAATTCTATTAAATCTTGTTTATACATATGTATTTTTATATTTTATGTAATTGATTTTTGTATTAACAACATAATTGTATTCACAATGCTCAATCTTGGACTCAATAATGGTGTCTGTATGATTTTGTTTTGCTTTAAAATCACTCCCTTTAGAATGATTCAATACAGTAGTGACACTGAATGCAATGCAACATAAATTCCAAGCATTGAGAAGAAATTTTAGTAGGGGGCATCAAATGAATCATATTTTAATCATATTGGGTGGTCCTGCAATGGGAGAGAGTAGGTTAGGACAGTGAGTACAACTTAAAAAGGTTGTGAATTTCACAATCTTCACTTTTCAATGATGCTTGGCAAATTTAGGAGGACTCCACCTGCCTGAGTGGGTGTGCTACTGAGACACATCTAAACTAGTTAATGAGTTTAATTTATTTGATATACTAGCATAGCAAAGCAATTTCCCTTACATATTAAATTGCTATCTTAATTTAAAGGGTTTATTACACATTCTATCCCAAACTATTGCCTAATATTTTGTAATGCAAAAGTTACGGGATCCTAAATTATTCTCATATTCCAACACTCCCCCTCTAGGTAAAAAAAACAATGCCGCCCAATTAGTACAAATTAATATGTGTTTGGGAGGGGAAAGCTTGGGAACACACCGAACCTTTGGCATAATGCACAAAGTGGTTGCCCTGTGACTTGAACCCATAACCTCAAAGTTATTAAGCTAAGGTTTTACCATTGAACCAATGGTCACCCCTCAAGCTGATTCAAAGATATTCGCTAAACCCATATTGATAATGGATGACTGCTACAAGGTTGGACCAACGGATTTGGTGAACATATTAGATAACTGCTCAGATGAATGGACTTAGACGTTGATTTCGCAAGTGATTTTGTGATTTCAAAATTTTAGCTAACTGCTCTCTCTCAAATCATACCACAAAAATAATCTTCTGATTTTGAAAGCGATTTTTATTTTCAAAAACGTTTTCTTTTCTTTTTGTTCTTCCTGATTAGCTTCTGATTTACCATTGTTTATGTTTGTTTTCTAAATTTTAACGCGAATCTCATGTCAATTCGAATGATTGTAGCAAATTTTTTTCTTTCTTGAATTGTTTGTTTATATTGATTGCTTGCTCAATACAAGAACAAGGAAGGGTTCAATTGTATATCTCCCTCTAATTGCAAAATAAAACAATTGGGTTTGTAGAATTTTTTTGTTCAAGTCAGTACAATGCTCAAAAAGAGTTCTTCCAAGCCAACCACACCAAAGCCAGAGGACCTAGTTGTAGAGGAGAGAAAAATCTCTTCCACCACGAAAAAACCCAGTAACGAGATTGATGAGATATTTGCTAGGAAGAAGAGGAAGAAACCTGAACGAGAAAAGCCTGACAAACGGAAGGAAAATGAGGCTGCTAAGCCGGATAAGTTGAAGGAAAAGAAGAAGAAGAAGAAGGTGAAGAAAGATTCTGAAGAGTGTGTGTTTGTTGACCCACCTTCACAGCCGAGGAAGAGAACCAATGATGGACTCACCGTTTACACCGAAGAGGAGTTGGGGATTGCGAATGCAGATGCTGGAGGTACCCCACTGTGTCCTTTTGATTGTTCTTGTTGTTTCTGATCATACACCACTTACTCTTTTGAGTAAAGTTGCTTCATTGGATATTTTTTGAGCTTAATGGAGATTATGGATTTTGTAATCCTCCATTGTAGTTTTGGTCTTTCAATATGAGAAGTGTTGCTTTCTATTTCTTAGATGTACATTAGGATCAGAGTATACTATTTGATCTTATTTGATTAATACTAGTTTTTAATTTCAACTAAATGTCTTAAAGCATGAAGCGATAGCATCAGAAATATCGAAGTTGGTTATATTGATATTTATTTAATTTTAAACACAATATGCTTATTTTTATATGTATATGCATATAAAAAATTATATATAATGCTAAAATAAAGTGAATCTTATGATTCATGATTTTCTATTTTCGCAAAACAATTCATGATTCGATTCGCGATTTGACAACAATGGTCTCACCACTTCATCTTGATGAAATGATGATTCTTTCAATTAGCAATATGTTTCCTAGAGCAATCAGGATCCTGTAAACTGTGTATGCACCAAAAAATTTGTGTTTGAAAGCCATAAATTCATTTTGGGGATGTTATAACAACCAATAAATGTGGTTGAATTTGTATTACTTTGTGGATTTTGGATTATGTTCTGTGTAGATGTTGCTTTTATGAATATAGCCTTTACTGGAGGATATAGATTTTCGGATGAACCCTGTAGTTTAAGGTGATATGTAGCATATATGGGTATTGGTGCATGGGATTCAAAGTCAGATGCTCATGAAGGCCCTTCAAGAGCAAGGTTTTTGCCTCTTATGATAGTTTGACTGTTGGAAGTGGAGATAAGATTACGGAAGTACAGTGGTGTAAGAAAGCTTTTACTTAGCCTCTTACCATGTTCTCCTATTCTCTCATTTATCAGTTTTTATCATTTTCTTTTAGACAAAAATACACTTAAATCTTTCTTTTTCTTTTTCTTCATTCCCCCCCCTCCCCTCCTTTTTCCAGATCTGTAGGGATTTGACAAGAAGATTAATAAAAAAAATGAGCAAACTCACTTCGATGGTAGTTGCCATTTGACAAGAAGATTAATCAAAAGAATCTCTCTCTCTCTCTCTCTCTCTCTCTCTCTCTCTTGTTGGTGGGATTAATCAGTCTTCTATAGAAAATTTTTATCTTGGCTTTTTGTTTCCCTGAATATGCTGGCACTGTACTCTATTGTTTATTAGTTTGCCTGGAATTAGAGAAACAGCCACATTGCCGTGGATGAATTCTTTTGAAGGTATAGTGAGAAGCTCAGTATATGGTGCCCATTTTCATTTCTCTTGGGGCTTTGAGAAGAATTCTTTCTATTTCATCCTAGTTTCGTTTCAGTTGGGGCTTTGAGAGGAATTCCTTCTTTTTCATTCCTAGTAAGGAAGGTGTGTGATCTATCTCTTGGTAAGCAATAGGCATTCTTACTGAATGGTTTCTTCTTCTTTTTAGTATATTGAAAATCATTAATTACAATATCACCAACAACAAAGGGTTGATGATGGTAGGAGATGGCTTATCTTATCGACTAGAGGAAACTTTCTGTATATACTTTAATGAGATGAATAAAAAAAACATTTAATTTATGCAGAGCTTGGGATTCCTTTGCATTACTTGTGTAGGTGAGAATGTTTAGGTCTTGAATCTAAATGCTAATCAATTGCAAATGGGTGATGCTTTGGTGCTAGGAAATCTCCTTGCGTCACCACACGTTAGTTATGGAATTCTAATGCTAGAAACTCTCATTGTGACACTATGCCTTAGCTTTGGATTTCACTTGCCTAAGATATTGTTCATGTTTGGGACCAGAACACTTTCATGATTTGTGCTTTCCTTTCATGTAAGGAGTCATTTCTGTCTCTCTTCTTTGGGAATTCTTTTACGCCGAACATCATGTAGTTTTCATTTTTCTTGACACAAATTTTCATAGCCCCCATATCTTCATGCCACTTCTTTTTCTGTTTTTTTGGTCAAAAATATCATGTTAATAGAGAGATTAGCCCTACTTGGGTAATACCATTGATTAATATTGGCCTTCATGTCAAAAACTTGTATGGTATTGAAGATCCTTTTAGGTTATATTTGATCATTTCGCCATCAATGCGCATTTTTTAACTTTTTCTTTGCTTCCTTCAAATCACATTGCTCTCCTAGTGAGATTACTTTCTATGGCCTTTTTTCTTTTTCTTTTTAATTGTTGGAAATTTCAACCCAAACTATTTCACAGGTTACCACATAATGGCAATCCCCTATTGATTCTTTGTTTGAGCATTGTCACATGGATATATCATTGTTAGATTTGGCTTCTGCATCATTGTTGGATATCATAGTGGAAAATTGTTTAGTAGTTGGGAAACACTACTTTGATATGTGTACGTGATACTCTTGGCCAATGAACTTGTGTAAAATGGGATAAGTGAAACCAATTTTGTCTCTCACTCAGCCGACTAAGATTGATCAAGTCAACTTTGTGCTTGTGTAAAAAGGGATAGGTGAAACCAATTTTGAAGGGAATAGTCATTCCATTCTATTCCATTCCATTCCATTGCAACTCATTCCACTGAACCAAATCAAGCATTAGAAGCCAGAATAACCCTTTAGACCCATCAAGGCTTTTACATTTTGAAATGGTTATTGAAATCCAGTGCACAATCCATTTTGTAGGTTGCTTTGAAATGAGATTTAATTACAGAATTTTGGTCCTCCATAGCATACCCAACAAATTTCAAACACCAAACAACTGTTTGTGAACTTCAAATCTTCAACAACTATGAATAACATCATTCAATTTCAACCATAACGATAGTGAATTCAAAGATCAAATACTCTTATAACACAATCAATACAATAAAATTCTTGCAGAACCAACAAAGATGCACACAAAAATTAAACATACAGAGATCACAAATGAAATGCTTACACACTATGCATACACATAGAAGTGTATACGTATATATAAGAGAGAGAGAGAGAGAGAGAGAGAGAGATGAGACAGAGTAGGGTTTTGCAAGCTCTATACTTTTGCACCGGGGTTTGGCTATCTCTCAAATTGTTCTCTCCGGTTTCAACAATTATCACTATAACAAAATTCTCCAATTTTCTAAAAATATTTCCAAATTTTTCTTTACATTTTTTTAATCATAAGAATGAATCCAATTTATGTAAATATTTATTGAATTTTTTTTATTTATAATTTTGAATATTACTATTAATTTTACACATTTTTTGATTTTTGAATAATTCTTGTAAATGAGAGCTTATAATTTTATTTTTTTTACACATTTTTATTGTCAATTTTTTTTTTCCCTAAAATAAATACAAATATCTTCTTCTTTTTTTCTTCAATAAATTATCCTTATTTTTAATAATTTATTAATCTCCATGTGTGATTATGTTTAATCAACTTAGTTAGTTCAATTGACCATTTTTTGTACATTCTCAAATAAGAGCTCAAATAGCAAGTGTTTGCCAAAGTTAAAATTAATTATTTCTTTTCTATTGCGAATTTATTTATTTGTCATAATGTAGTTATTTATTTTTATTGGACTTTTATTGAATACAAGATTGGTTTCGCTAATGTTTTTAGCTATCTTGTACCATTTTATAATGACTCCATTAGGTCTTTTTAGTTCAAAATCAATCAGTAATGAACTTACTTACCTTGTTTGTAGATAAGTTAGAGCTAAACCTTGTTTTATTAATTTGGTGGTTGCTACCAAGCTGATTTGTTTATGCCCATTAAAGAACCCTGTGATGTTAATCCATGAAAAACGATTTAAGAAATTCAAAATAGCTCATACACAAAACGAGATTGACTTGTAAAATATAGGGTTTTTACTCGTACTGAGGAATTATTTGGAGTTCCCTTTCCAATATGTATGGTTAAATTTCTATATATATATATATATATTTTTTTTGAGGAATTTCTTTATATAGTTGATTATTCGGTTTGATTATTTGAACTATTTAAAAACAAATACATTTAAATTTTTTAAGGTTAAATTATCATTGCACCTCATGAAATTTATCTAGAATACATATTCTCTCCTCACGGAAATTACAAATACTTCCTAGTCAAAATAATTTAGCAACTAACCAACAAAAAAAATAAAATTATCCAAATACCTTCTATTGCCAAAATAAAATTATCATACTACCTTTATTTTCATTCACCGCCACCAAATCTATTTCTCTACACTACCACAATATTCTTCAATTGATTAATGAAGACTATTTGTTGTGTACTCTTTCCGTCCTAAAATATTAGTCCCTTATAGCATTTTCATTGTCCCAAAATATTAGTCACTTTTCACAAATTAACGATTAAAATAATATGAATTTCCTATTTTGCCGTTTTTAAATTCATTAACAATTCAAAAGGTACAATTATGACAATTGATATTTCCAAAAAAATGTACTATCAAAGGATAATTTTGAAAAATTAATATTTTTAAAATACAATAATTGTACTACAAAAAAAAGTTAGGCTCCGTTTGGTAAGCCTCTTAAAATATAATTCTACCCATTGATTTGAGTGTGTTGTTTGTTTGGAGCTTTCAAATCATAATTCTACACCCATTTCTCTAAACTCAATTCAAAACATAATCATTACTTTTCAAAACTCATAACCAAACACATAATTCAAAATTCTTTTCAAAACTCAATTCAAATCAATATTTTAATTTTGTTAAGATTTTAAATATTTTAATATTTAAATATATTACGATTTTTTTTAATTTTTTAATTTTTTGAATATTTTTAAATATTTTAATTTCAAAATATTACGATTTTGATTTTTTAAAATTTTAAATATTTTATAAAAATAAATTCAAATTCTATTTTATAAAAATATTTTTAAATATTTGAATTTTTTTGTTATGTATTTGGTTACGATTTGAGTGTAGAGTTGTAAAAGTAGTATAGAATTTCGAGTTATGTGTTTGGTTATGAGTTTTAAAAATAATTTCTTAATTGAGTTTTGTTTTATGTGTTTGGTTACGATTTGAGTATAGAGTTGTTTTTAAATTTAAAATATTAACATTTTAAATTATATAAATTTTTTGAATATTTATTTTAATTTTTTACTTATTAAATTTTTTAGATTATTTAAATTACTTAAATACTTATGATTTAAATTTTTTGAATATTTATTTTGAAAAAAAATTATTTCCTTCGTAGTATTTTCAATTAAAAATTGATTAATGTTATTTTCTGTTAATAATAAATTTTTTTAATTGAATTTTAAAAAGAGTTTGGTTGTGAGTGTTGATCAGAATTTTTAATAGTGTGAAAGCATTGTGTTTTGTTATGAGTTATAACAATTTGAATTAAGTTTTGAAAACTCTTTCCAAAACTCATAACCAAACAAATTTTCTTACTTCACATGTTAAATCAAACTTTCAAAACTCAATTTCACATACAATTCAAAACTCAATTCAACACTCTATTCAAAAACCATTCCATGCTCGAGAGAGAGATTCCACCATCAAGACTGATTAAAGCTAGTGATTTTTTGAAGATAAAAAAAAAAATTCTAGAAAAAAGGCTAGTGTCCTCGATGATGGATGTGAGGCTTCTCCATACCCTGTACATTTTCCTGGTCTCCAAGTTGGATAACATCCCTTATTGTCACCTCCTAGACATATTTGAAAACATATTTCAAACTCGTGCATTTTCAAATATATTTTAAAACCCATGTTTTTATGACTTTGATTGAAATTATATTTTGAAAACCCGATTTTCGTTCTGACAAAGGAAAGCAACAGCTGATAATGACCATGAAAAAGAAAGTTAAGACCACACAATCTAAACAGTGTAGCAAAGTAGAAAGATAACATAATAAAAAACACCTAAAAGCATTTGTCCAAACCAGACCAACAATTAACCATCCATAACAGACAACTCAAATTCATCCTGAAATTGTATTTAGGTCTAATACAACTACAAAACCTGACTGAAACTAAGTAAAATCCTATTACACAAACCCCAATTAAGCACCAAAATGAGAGCATATGTTGTTTTAACCACAATCCATCCACTCACCACACATCTCAACTCTTGGGTGAAGCTTTGGCAACCCCACCAGGCTGAACAGCCTGAGAAGTTGGTGCTCCACAAGCAGAATATGCCGGTGGCTGAGAATAACCACCACCGTAAGAGCTGTTGTATGGCAGCTGCTGCTGCCCATACCCTGGTTGAGTCACTGGAGGTGCACCATAAGGCGGGGCGCCATACCCTGGCTGAGCTGCTGAAGCAACATAACCAGAGGGTGGAGCCCGCTGGGCACCAGAATCTGGCTGAGCATAACCACCTGCTTGAGCGGCTGGTGGGGGCTGAGACTGAGGATATCCAGGCTGAACATAGCCACCTTGGGCACTGGGTGACTGTTGGGGCTGTTGCCCATAAGCTGCCTGACCAGCTGGAGGTTTTTGAGCCTGAGGTGGACCATAGTTCGGCCCATATCCAGAAGCTGGTTGAGTCCCGTAACCAGGCTGGGAAGTGGGGACTCCATAACCTGGCTGGGTAGATCCTCAAGTTGGATAACTAGCTGGGTTAGTGCTGGGCGGCTGAGTTGCTGTGACTGGACAGGTGGAGGGGCTTGGGTGGTATCAGCCCGAGCTCCTCCATAAGAAGGTGTTTGCCCCTGAGGTTGTGTTGGTCACATTACCATATCCATAACCAGGAGTTGAAGTATAACCTTGCTGTTGATCATACCCTTGAACAGGAGTTGACTTGGGCTGACCATAACCAGTTTGTGGTGCGGGTGCATATCCATCGTAGCCACCCAGAGTATAACCTTGTTGACTATAGCCAGAAGCTGGTGGCTGGCCATAACCATAACTGGTATTATCTGTAGGTGCTGCGCTGCCAGTGGGGGCTTGCTGCTGCTGAGTCTGCTGGCTATAGTAATCGTAAGTGCCTCCCTGAGCCGTCTGCTGATTAGGTGCACCGGTCGTCTGGTCCCAACCTGTAGCATAACCACCTGATGCTGCTTGAGAAGGATAACCAGGGTATTATGGCTGAGACATGTTGTACTGTGGGGTCGGGCTAGGATATGCTCCAGGCTGCATGTAACCATAACCAGGTTGTTGCTGCATTGGAGAAGCGGGAGGAGCCCAGCTAGTCGGTGGACGTGCTTGGTAACCTTGCTGAGAATATCCTCCAGTCATTGACGGATTTCTAAGTCGATTCTGCACAAAATCGTTATTTCATATGAACAATGGAAACCTGACACAATGTATGCCCAAAAATTTAGACAGGTGGAAAAATTAAATATGCATATTTATGGACAACAGGAAAGGAACATGCCTAGAAATTAACAAAAACAACACATATATGATAGAGATTAATACCACAATTGAAGAATACACAATGCATAAGCATATTTGTATATCAAGAGGGGTTTCGGCGCCTACATACCGTACTGGTCGGTTGTAATATCGAGTTACTTCCGCAGAAGCACATCCTCTCCCTATTCAAAGTGAATGGGTACAAAAAGAAATTGCAAAAACTATACAAGTTTTCACATGAAAGCACATATAACAAACCCCCCATTGCCAAGAAGAGGCAACAGGTTTCACAGTACTCAACTACTATACCAAAGATATATCTAGCTGAACATCTAGTTGATGCATTGCACAATGGGCAGAAGCTCAATGTAATATGTAACTGATCCAGCAAGTGAACAGAACTACTACCCAAAATCGTTACTATTACCATGCTGTCATATATTTATCATCATATTAAACGATATCCCATAAACCAAAAATGTCCAATTATCTATTGGTTAAAACAAACACAGTGTGAAGGAGCTGTTAACCAAATAGTGTAAAAACACCCTTTAGACTAAAAAAGTGAGTACATGGGAACTTAAATATAAGCAGGTGCCAGACTACTTAACATATGTTCAAATGAAGAGATTATTCATCCATCTTCGATATTTAAGGCATACCACTTTCTCAACTTCCTATCAAGTGCCCATCCACCAATTCTAACGAGACATTTTCCAGATGATAAACACTACAAGTCTACCACAAATGCACCATAAGAACACTTAACTTATAAGCTAGACAAAGAATAGAAAAACACCAGGAAGCTGTTGTTTCACATGTTCGTTGCAGGCTAAAATGTCAGATCTGTCAATTGACAACTAGAAAAATCAACTACCTGGGTGCCTGGGTAAAAGGAAAAGTTAGGCATGTATAAGCCTCAAAACCTAAGTCCTTCCAACACTTGACCTTCCAATAAAGACTGATATGAGCAAAATATATGAGGAAAGGATACAGAAATTACACCAAGTCCAAATTATATTAACTGCAAATCTGATCACCAGATGAACAAATTCTCAGGAAGCAAACAAACAACAGTAATATAACTGTAAGCTTTCAAGCAGTTTAAAGTGTTTCACAGTGAAGGAAGCACTAAATGATTATTCAAAGCATTAGACAAATTATACCAAAAGACAATAAGATTGATAAACTTTTCACCAAGTTCAACATTCAATCAAAATACATAAAAAATACCTAAATTGCTATAGGTACTATATATTTATTTGAATATTTAAGTAGATATGGGAACTTAAATGTTCTAAAGACATCTCTATGAAATGCGCAGCAGTCTTAAATGAACACTGCACATAAATTATCTTGAAGGGCTCATGGTCCACTTTCAAAACAATCCAGTTGAACCTCCACATCAACCATAAGCCACAAACTTCCCTCCGTCAACTGGCATATTATTATTAAAAAGAAGGTCTAGAACCATACCAGAACAATGCTGTGGAAACAACAACACTACTAAAGATTCCATGTTGGTGCACTCCAATAACCACTTGTTGGAAAAATAATGGTTTTTGGTGTGCAATATTAAAATGGGTGCAAATCCTCAATTGAGGTGGAGTAAAGTGGGTTTAGATTCTTTGTAATGAAATCTTTACACCACAAAAAGAATGACAAAAAATCATTAAGGTTTGAATGAGAAATGACCAAAAATCATTAAGGTTTGAATGAGAAATTGACTTATTAAGTTGGCTTCATGAAGAAGGTGTTGGGAAAAGTGTAAAACCTTATATCCAATAGTGATTGTAGAGGAGAGCATTGATGGGTATTTAAATCTCATTTTTTGCATAAGGGTGTAAACCCTTCGGGGCATCTAAATTTTCCGAAGTAAGAGAGTTATGGATGCTTCAAGAATGGACTTGGGCCAAGACTATGGTCCAAGTTGGTTATGAAAAATTTGCCACACGCGCGCTCCGTCCGCCACCCGCCCGGGCCAGGTACGTGATCCGTGGGACTTGGAATGGATTGAGTGTGGGGGTTGGGCTTGGCCCACCCATCTTAATCTTTTTGAGCCAAGTCAAATGTGTAGGCTGTAGGAATATATACACAAAACCTAGGTGTATAATAGAGTTAGTAACTCCTCTATTCATGATGGATTTAATCCATCAGTTTTGCAGTTTAATACAGAATTGATTTCTGCATTTGTGATGGGTCTTAATGCTTGGAGCCTCTTCCTCTCTCCCTTCATGTGTATAAAAGGAGGCCCTCTCCTTCAGCTTTCTATACCAGAAATTGCTGCTCTTCTTGTCTTCATAAGTTTTTCAGTTTTATATTATTTTCTTCCTGTGAGAGTGCTGCAAAGTTTTGTTTGCCGAAACTACTCAGTCGATGCATTGTTTTAGTTGGTTCAACTGTCGTATCCTGGAAGACAGACGTCGAACAACCTCCAGCACCCAATCGGTGAGGCGACGAATCTGTTTTAAGGACACTGCCTAATGCAGGTTTTGGTTTGCTTTCCTTTGCTATTTTATTTTATGATGTGTTGTAATTTTCAGCATGGCTTGTTTGTTCTGAAATTTCAAGTGTCTATTATGAATCTATTTGTTTTATGTTATCACACAATTTAAAAAACAAGCTTAAAATAGATTTGATATTTTTCCATGCAATTGATTAATAGATTCATCTACAACCTGCTGCTACTATTTATGTGATATAATTAATTTACCTAGTTTTCCTTTCCGTGGTTGTTTGGAGACTATGCCAAGAACTTCTTTGATTAGGATATTAATTTAATATTTCTACATGCTGTCTTCTCCCATGATTTACAAGCTATTAGATATTCAATTTGATTTATATTATACTGCCACTGTTTTCGAAGGGTAATTGATCACCGGTTGAGTTCATGATTTATTTACATGCCTACCATTATGTTAGTATCATTGTTGCATGCTAGGAACTCATGATTAAGAATGTCTTTGATTGGGGGGAAAAAAAAGAAAAAAAAACCAAAACATAACCTGTGTTAATTGGAAAAATGAAACTGTTTTATTTAGTTTGTGGTTCCATTGATATTTGTAATGTTATGTTCTAATTGGTCAGAATATTTATTTAGTTTAGTGTAATTTTATTTTATGAGTATGGTTTTAATTACCTATCATGTTTTGCATATTTCTTTATAAATACAAGTTGCATGCTAATGAGTCTCATGGTTTTATTTCCTACCATGATTTGTATGCTTCATTTTATAATTTCATAACATAATTTGTATGTTCAAAATTTTCTAGATGTTAATTTTTATTACATGCTTATTGTTTCTATAGTTATGTGTATGATATTTACATGTTAATTGTGGAGTTACAAACTTTATTTTAAAGTTTTAATTTAATTTTGGAGTTACAGATTTTAATTTAAAGGTTTAATTTAATTGTAGAGTTTCAAATTTTAATTTAAAGTTTTGATTTCATTGTATAGTTACAAATATTATTTTACAGTTTTCATTTAATTGTAAAGTTACAAACTATATTTTAGAGTTTTAATTTAATTCTGAAGTTACAGATTTTATTTTAAAGTTTTAATTTAATTGTGAAGTTACAAAGTTCATTTTGGTTTTGTAACTCATCTAGCATTTAAATTTATTGGTTAATTTTATTATTCAATAGTTCGTTAGATGGTTTCAATTAATTTATTATATTTACATTTTGTTTAGATTATTTTGTTTGTATTTTCTTGTGGTTTTTGCTAACTTTCTTTACAGGAATACCTAAGCATGGAAAGGAATTATTTGGACTATATAATTGAAGCAATTGTTTTGCTTGAGATTTTGTTATGGGTTTTTACCAATATATAGAAGCAAGTTTTATTTGCTTGTAATTGTTGTAGCAATTTTTTACATTGCTTATAATTTGGTTAGCAATTTTTAATTGCTTGTAAGTATTGGACTATGGTTTGTTTTAACCTAGTTCATCTCTTAGAAAACCTTAATTCTAAAAATTGTTCCCATATATTAGGAGAACATGCTCTTAAAAGTTTTGTCAAAAGGTTAACTGGATTTTAAGTGGGACCGATGTGATCTCTCCAGTCTTCTTGAAAACATTCTTGACCATGTTCAATTCTAGGTTAAGTGGTAAGACTAGTTTTGAATTAAATTTCCAACTGTGGAATTTTCTAAGTATAAAGTTTAATTTCTGAAAACACAGAAAGTGATATTCTGTTGTAATTTTTAGAAATGAAACTGTCACCGATGATGCTGCTACTGCTAATGTTGGTGGGGATCTGAACCCCGGGACAACTGGCTTGCCAACCCCAATTTTGACAAAAAAAGAGGTCCGCCAAAGCCAACAAAAAAAATGGAAAAAAAAAAAAAAAAAAAAACTCAACAAGATTACAAACTACAAACCACACACTGCTCTCCAATCCCTAGAAATAAAAATAATGGAATCCCCTTAAAAAGTTTAGAAACCGAAACAAAAAGAGGAAACATAACAAACTATACCATAATGAATCAGTGCCCTCAAATTTGTCCCCCAAAACCCCTGCATTGTGCTACAACCAAATAACTTATAATAGAAGAAAAAAGAAGACACCATATCAAGCTTGAAAGTTCAATAGGGGTTCATAAAGATCTGGTTCTGTGGCTTTAGAGGCTAGAAGTGCAAGAAAGTATAAAGAAGAGGAAGAAGAAAACTCCAGGAATCACTCCTAGAGGCCTTGGGCATCACACCTGCAATTGATTACACCACACAATCTCAAAAGAAGAATATTTACTGAAAATAATTCTCTCAAAACTATCTCTATCAAATTATAAGTATTACATGACTTCATATAGACTAGGGAACTTCTTTCACCAGCAAGGATTACGATTTCCAAAAAGAAAACTAATTCAATTTTTGACTTCTAAAAACTATCTAAGATCAAGTAAAACTCTTCAATAATGCATAACTTTGCTCCATACCATGACCCATGACGAACTCCTACAGCTCTTGTCCTACCACAATACCCCTAACCTTAAAAACTGACCGCGACATAAATATAGATTATAGATAATGTAAAAATAAGCATAAAACAGGACCTAATATGGCTAAAACATAATCACCGTTAGTCCCAAGTGCGTTTAGCTTGAAATCAAGCAATTTTAAAACTTTCTTGCTTCTTTAGTTATACTCTATCTTGATCTTCTTATAGTTTGCATCAGTTCGTTTACTCAATATAAGGGGAAAAGAGGATGTGAATTGTATAGACATAGAACTGAAACTTTGGGCTACATGCGCAAGGGACCAAAATCCATCACCACGATACTTTTAGCTATTGCTAAAACAATGGTCAATCCTGGCTGAACTTTTGTCCCCTCTTTTCAAAAAAGAAAATCCTGTTTCTTGAAGAACCCAATGAACAACTATTTAACACATAGGACATAGGGCAATGAGTGATGATAAAGATCTAAGTACTTGAATCTTCTGTTGCCTTTTGTATAAGATAGCCTTGCCCCACCAAGCAATTTTTTTTTTTCCTTCTTTCTTATTCCTCCCTAGAGGCGATGGACAAATCATACTCATACCAATGATCATCATAGTTGTTCTCAAAATAATAAATAAATAAATAAATAAAAGGAAGGCAGAACAACTGGAGCATAAGCCAACAACTATTTGCAGTTTATTTCGGCCTTCTTGCACTTCCCTCGAACACATAACAAGTATAGGAGTATTTAAGTTATTGAATGTATTCTATCATTTCTTGTGGTTCTTACTGTACTTCTGCGAAAATGCTGTAAAAGGTGAAACGAAAATAGGAAAAGAGGTCAATCCATTGCTACACAAAACGTTACGGAGTAGCCAATTCTGGCTCAAAGGTCATCATTTCAACATCAAGGACAGAATTGACACGCATCATCTGATGAAAACCATTCAATAGATGATTTACACAAAAGATCAGCATGCTTAAACAGTTGTACCCATTTTATGCCTACCAAATTCTATCATTAATGTAATACTTTTATGGATTTAGAGGACAAAGAGTCAACTGGTTACATTTCTTCTGGTCTATTGATTGAGACTTTATTAAATGATGGTTGTGATTTATATTTCATGGGCCTGACAACATTAAAAGACTTGAATAATTGCTAGTGAAGAGCTTGGCTCAACACAAAAGAAAAAAGAAAATTTTAAAAGAATTTCAGGGGGATCGGTTACAGCCCTCAGGAACCTCATTCCTCCAATTTCCCTCCCCTTTGTAATCTGCCAGTTTCCTCTGATAGATGATAGGATCTTGTCAACGCAGCACTGATCTAGACAAGAAAGATAAGCAAATCTACAACCATCTACAACAAATTTGATAAGCGGACATACACAAAAATATGTGTGCATGCATCCATACATCCATTCAATGTCAACATGTCTGTGAATGTGTGAATGCGTGTGTGTGTGTATGAGAGAGAGAGAGAGAGAGAGAGAGAGAGAGAGTAAATTCTGCACACCAATTGTTCACATAGGATTTCTAAGGTTTAGCCAAAAAGAGCACAGAAGAATACCCTTTCTGATCAAATTCAGTTCTAGAAAATTCCATCCATTGAGCAGTACAAGGGAAAAAAGGGAGGAAGTGCTTCGTGTAAATTATTATGAAGATATACCTTATCAACTTTGTTTCCAACAAGCATCTTGATGCAATCTTGATTAGTTGAGTAGAGCTCAATTTCCTTCCCCCATACCTCAGAAAGATTAGTAAACGTATCTCGACGTGTCACATCATAAACTGTTGCAATTATAAACGCCAAAATTCCATCCATTGAGCAGTACAAGGGGAAAAAAAGGAGGAAGTGCTTCGTGTAAATTATTATGAAGATATACCTTATCAACTTTGTTTCGATGCAATCTTGATTAGTTGAGTAGAGCTCAATTTCCTTCCCCCATACCTCAGAAAGATTAGTAAACGTATCTCAACGTGTCACATCATAAACTGTTGCAATTAAAAACGCCAAAAATGTTAAACTAAAGAAGATAGGGAGTTATGCTTAAGCTTAATGTTACTGAAATAAAAAACAAAGCCCATGCCAGTGTTATTAAAGGCGATAGGCTCACCAAGGCGCCAAGGTCTCCTAGGGCTTAGGCTCAAGGCGCAAGGCGAGGTGCACGCTTCACCGAAGTGAGGCGCACCTTGTATGGAAAAAAAAAAAAATTTAATATAAATAAATTATTTAGGGTTCAACATAAACACAATGAAATGTTAAACATTTAGTATTTTTCGAAAATTAGGAATTAAAATTAATTTTTCTTCTATCATTGATTTGAGGTTAAATGCCCAATGTATTGGCATCTGTAATAAGAGTAGGAATCTTCTGACCATATTAAATCAATGGTTAGATTTTAAACAAAATTAATTAAAGCAACAATAAAAAAAAACTCTCAAGATGCAAGCCTTGGGCTTTATTGTGCCTTGGACCAGTCAAGCGCCTTATCGAAGTCACTTGGCCTGGAACACTACAAGGCGCAAACCTTGGGCCTGGATGGAACTTGAGCCTAGGAGCACGCCTAGGTGGGCCTTATCGAAGTCGCCTGTCTTGGAACACTACAAAGCACAAACCTTGGGCCTGGATGGGACTTGGGCCTAAGTGCACCTTTAATAACACTGGCCCATGCTAAGGATATCAAGGTTTCTTGCAACTGACTATCTCTTAATCATATTTACCCAAAGACGTCCACATGTCAGCAAAATAGGTTCAAATACACATAGTGATATTTTCTAGCAAATATCAAAAGTACTTGACATAAAACACTAAGACACCCAATTAAGGGACACGTAATCTTGACAGAAGGTGGTTTAAGCCAATTATTAGCATGCATTACACTCTTAAAACCACTACTGTATACAACAATGAGAATACACAGATTGCAATAAAAAAGGTCCAGCTAATGCCTGAACTTACTTGCTCAACTTCTCTATGTTATAATAAAATATACCAACTACAACTAAAACATATCATTTAGTTCCTTTACATTTTATTTGTTTTTATGCATTGCCAACAGAGTTTCATGCCCGTTTCTAACCCATAACTGAAACAAGGTTCCTCGTTAAGTAAGGACGAATAAATATACACCAAACAACAACCAAAAAAATGCTTTAAAAAAATCTTCACAAAGGAAATTTAACAAGAAAAAGAGGATATGAAATGTCATCCAAAATGGTTCATAAAGGTAACCACCACTTCGTAGTGATTAGTCTAACCACTCTGGAAAGTCTCATTTTGGCAAATGCTTTTAAGTTTAACTGGGTATCTCATAGAAGCCTGGTTTTGACACGCAGTTCATCACTTTGTTAGCAGAGAAAAGCAATCCAATTTCATTTACTTCGTCATAAACCACTTAAATCTCCATACCATAAATCCCTACACTTCTCTACATCTTTGTATATGAAATTAAATATTCTCCAAATTTTACAATTAGATGTGCTACTTACAAAAGTGGAATTCATAGCTTTTCAACAAGGCTTTAATCCACAATTTCCCCTCAACTGGTCTAAAAAGGCAGTGGATGTTCTTCAAGAAAATGATAATAAAATAAAATAAAATTACCCATAATGATCCCTTGTGCTCCTCGGTAGTATGAGCTTGTCAATGTTCTGAATCTCTCCTGACCAGCTGCATGACACAACATTCAGCAACCAATGTTAATTGGAATCATTCAGATTGACATTCCAGACCAATAAGTTTCTTATTAGCAATGAAACTGCAATATGTGGTCTAGTTAAGATTTTGTCATATGAGCAACGAGACTAATTTCTTTCATCATTTAGCCAAACCCTGTAATCGGATCAACATGCTTAGGTATGCACTTATAAAGAATGGTTCAATAAAAAATAAACAATTCTTTTATCCTTTTTGTAACCATCTACTACATCACCAAACAAAGCTTTTATCCCTCTTTATATATCTACCATGTTTTGGGCTCACAGAATAGTTAATCATGCATTTGAAAATTTCAGTCATTCAACAAGTGGAAAACTTAAAGTGAAACCATGTCCTACAATGATCCTATTTTATCTACTGCAACAAACCAATTTGTCTGTTTCAATTCTTATGCCTAAGTTTCTAAGGTAAAAGATAAATGCACACTCTAACTAGAATTTAAGAAGCAAAAGATGATGAGAGTTACAGATTTCCTATATATTTGCATGACAAAAGATAATGTGAATTTTACAGAGATTATGTGACTGTATGATGCAGACCCTGTTTTCATGTGACACTTTGGTAAAGTTATGGAAATTGTGTTTGACATGTCTAGCACCCAACAAGTAAATCTGATAAATTTAGCTTACTAGCTAATGTATGTAAATCCCATGTTATGTTACTTATATGAATGGGTGCTTCAAATCAAGCGAAAAATCTGTTTCACTCAATGTTGTAGAGAAAAACACTATTCAACCCTAGATATTAAAAGAACAACATTAAGAAATATTATCATATCATATAGTAAAGTCCTTGTGTTGTTGGATTTGTGAACTAGATAAATCCAATGCTTAGACACTATTGAGAAGGATATGATGGCATCGAATTGCATGTAAGCTTTTCACATCAAGCCAACTCAACTTCATCCAAATCAAGTCCTAAAAAATTAGACACTTCGCCAAATACCATTGTGGAGAGACTTGGGTTCTTTTCCCTCGCATAGAACCTCACCAAAATTGATTAGTAATTCACGATTTGATTTTAATAACACCAACATCCATGTTGATTCTGAGTAAGTTGCTGGGCTCCTATGCAGTATTTTAATGCTTGTGCACAAACACACAAATAATGCACGTATATCACCCTAAATGATAACTTCAATATCATTAAAAGTGATTTCAACAAAAAAAACCCAACTCATTATCATCCAAAATGGTGAATATATTTATTAGTTCTGGCACCAATGATCAGTTCTAAAAAAACCTGCCCATGAACTCTTAACCACAGATCTTGCTTTAAAAAACAAATTTCCACATATTTTAAAGAAGACGTGTGATTTTAAAGCAGTGATCTTCACTGCAACGGCTTTAAAATAATGTTCGCAATTTGATCTCTGCAAGGCCAAGCAGGTAAGCTTTCCAAAAAATCAAAGCTTAAAATTGATCAACTATAAAATATGAAACAAATAAAATAAATAATAACAAATTAAGATTAAAATTGATATGTAAAATGAAATAATTCTTTTACCTTTACTTCTCTCCAAATTCTCTCTTTGTTTTCCTTCGGTACATGGCTCCAAGTTCTATAGAGTAGCTACATTCCGACCGACCTACCCCGAATTCATCTTGACCGGACTACCTTTTTGGGACCGTACTAACTCAAGTTGTCCAAACCGAAGCAGCTTTACGATTCCTTAGCCGAAGTAACTTCATCTCTTTTGACCGTAGTAAGTCAACATCTCCTCAGAACCGAAGTAAATCTATCGTTCTTGAACCGGAGTAAATTTAACAGCTTGGGCCGGAGTGACTTTTATCTCTCTTGGGCCGCAGTAACATTTCGGCCTTTTACCCAGTCCTTGGCATTTTGGGCCACCAAGTCCATCTCGCAGCTCGGCCCAATTTTTACCAAAAATTACCCTCTCAATTGCCCCTTAATTCCATCTGCATAGCATGATTGGGATTACCAGTCCACCAGCCGAGCTGGCGTCGTTTTAAGCTTTTCCAGCCGAGCTAAAAATACTTTAGCCTCTCCAGCCGAGCTAAATTTTACTCCGGGCTCCGTTTTGTCCGGTAAAAAACGTCTCTTCAATCATAGCGTCTGTAACGTTTCCCATTCTAGTGACACGTGGCAGGCCCTGATAAGCCGTGGCCAACTGTTACGCCGCCCTGCAGAAATTTTGTACAGTTCCCGCCTCTTTTTGCCGCCTTTTTCTCTCCCCTCTTTCACAAAACAACCTTTCTTTTTCTCGAATCACTTCACCTTCCATTCTTCACTTTCTCTTCTCCCCTGTTTCCTGAGCCTTTGAGCTTTGAGCTTGCTGTGTTCGTGCCTTTATTGCTGCCATTGCCTCCATCTCTTAGCTTCTCTCTTACTCGGGTAAGCAAGCCTATCCTTCTTGCTCTTTTGCCTGTGTTATCATCTGTTTCTGTTTTGTATGCTTTTTTTTTAAAACACTTTTCTCCATTTGTTGCTTTGCTTTCGTACTTTTATGAAAAAACCAGTAGAACTCCCTGTGTGTATGAACTATTATGTAGAAAACCAGTCTTAGATCCAAAATCACATAGCAACCGAACTAGGATCCTGTTTGCCCCAAATAGGTAGATCTCTGTAGTCAATAACCGAACTAGGACTTAACTCGCTTTAGCCGAAATAAGATCACCAAGTTTCGAATATAGCAAACTAGGAACCTCGGTGGTCAACCGAACTAAGCTTTTGGGGCCAAGTCGGCTATCTTGGTTCCTAAACCGAACCCAGAAAGCCGCCCCTAGAGGCTTAACCGAAGTAACTCTATTCACATTGCAACCGATTTACGCCTTGGGGCTAAACCAGCTTTCTTAGTCTTTTAGACCGAACTCAGAAAGCTGCCCCTAGACGTTAAACCGGTCTACCGAACAAACTGCTCAAACCGAGCTACCAAACCTTTTGATGAACCGAGATAGAACCAGTTTACTTGAGGCCGAAGTAGGGCTCTTATACCTTGCTTTTAAATTGTAGCACGGTCCATTGATCAGTGCTTTAACCCCCTCTGTTTTTTACTTTGCAGACTTAGGTTACCCAGGCACTCCTGCGTGCGCTCAACCGAGCTATTGAGCACGATTTTTGCACCGAAATAACTTATCCGTAAT